CCCCCCCCCCGCCATTTGAGCTGAAATATTTCGGAGGTATAGTTCCTATTTGTTTTAAATTGACTAGTTGGAAAACAAGCCGATAAACCCATAGTCTCTAGTCAGCAGGGAATATTTAGAGCAGAAAGAACTTCAGTGACATTCTGTTAAGCTGAATAGTGTCCACACCAAACCTGAGAACAACTGACAGTGTTGATTCCCACAAAAAAGCTGAATTTCTGATTCTTCACTACTCACACACACACGTGGGTATAATACGTATGTATGTGTGCATATATGGGAGGTGTGGTAAAAGGGATCTCTGCCCTGAAACCTTCCATTTGATTTTTATTTTGAACTGAGTCTCAACAGAAACCAGCAAAGGTGGTTTATGCAGCCTGCATCACTCTGGGTGACGTCAGCTTACCCAAGGGAGGCGTCTTCAGAACCACGGTCAGTTCCCGGCTCCGCAGAGAAACCCCTGGCCCTTCCTGATTCTCCCCAGTTTGCCTTCTGCGTCACATCAAGCACTCGGACCATACGAGATGCTCTAATTTGTATGCCCCTTAATAAGGCTCCCCGTGACAATAGTAACTTCCTTTGTCCCCTCCCGAATTATACCCACGGGAAGCCTCATTTTACCAGTGCGAGGCAGCCTGCTGTGTGTGTGAGAGAGACTCACCCCCTGTATCAGTTGAGGGTCCTCAGCTTCAGAAGTGACATCCCCACCCTGTCTGGAATGTCCAAGACCTAAAGGGAGAGAAAATGGAAAATATCTGACAGGAGAAGCGCGGCTCCCGGGGACAGCTATGCTTCAGCGAGCGCCTGAAACCCTCTCCGGCCCTACGCAGTTGGCTTTAGGCTTCCTCCTTGCCAAGCCCTTTGAAAAGCAGAGGCAGCTTCCTCTGGCCACCAGAGGAGCTCTTCCTACAAGGTGTCAGCCACCTCTTTGCAAACTCCTTTGGAAGCTGAGGCCTGGGTCTCCTGGTTTCACTGCCCAATCGGACTGGAAGATCCGGGGAACCTCAGCAGCTTCAGCTCCTAACCCCCATTTTAAACACAAGAGCCACTGGACACCAGCCTCTGAGGTCAGGTCAGGCAGTGTATCACTGGTAACTTAGGTGCAGTTTACAAACGTATTGTAGTCCTGTGGGCAAGAGACACAAGGGGAATTCTGTGTCTGCCATGTCATGGTTGGAGAAGGCTGGTGTCACACTCCTGTCCACGGAACCCCAGAAGAGAACCACAGCAGCACACCCTTTTGAACAGCCCAGTCAACAGCCATCAGGAGTCAAGAAACTGTTTCAACACCTCCTGCAGGTCCTTGACTGTCTGGGCCTTTAAAATTCTACCTCTCAGAGACGCAAGTGGCTCAAGAAAGCTCCGAATGACGCATATACTCATCCAGTGTCTGATTTTCCAGCTAGTGCATCTTCACAGGACGTTGTCATGGTTTCCTAATCTGAAATTCTTGCTTTGCTTGAGACCAGGCATGCCGTTCTTTGAAAAACATTGTTTATTTAAAAGTTATGCAGGAATCATGATTTTTTTTTTTTTTCTCTCTTGCCACTTTGATTTCCCAATAGCTATGGTTTTTCATCACAACTGCTTCTCAAGCTTCTGGAAGAGTCATTTATTTTATGAATTTGGGGGGTAAACCCATTGCTGTTCTCCATTAACGGACACCCTGTATAGGTTTTATCTCTGCCAGAGTCATGACTGAGGATAGATATATGTTTGGGGTTGTTTTTTTTTGTTTTTTTTTGGTGGTGGGCGGAAATCATTGTATGGGTAGATTTCTACATATTGCTAAGTTGAAACATCATTTCATTTACTGTTTTTAAAAAGTTTTGTTCTGGTAAAAGAAAAATTTAATCTGAAGATATTTCCTATGCAATTTCCTTTCTCTGCATATCATTTCTAGATTTTGATTTCAGTTTGGATAACAAATGGTGTTGACCACAAAGCATTAGTATAAATACAACTACTTTGAGGACTTTTTTTTCGTCCTCAGAAATGCACCCCAGGAAAGAGGTCCTCATGACTCCCGCAAGCAGAGGATAAAAGTAAAGGTTCACTGTTCACAACTTTTCTCCAAAGTTTTTAAGCTTCATGTGGAAAACTGTAAAGAAGTTGGCCCTCTCTTACAGTATATCAATATTTTAAGTAAAATCCCATGTCCCCGTCTGATACAAGAAAGTTCAACAACAAAAAGAAAGAAAGATGGCACGAGGCTAAGCTTCTTAGACATTGCCCCTAAGGGATGCAGTGAGGAAAACTGGAAAGACCCTGAGAGCCTGCACAGACACCCAGGAAATAACAGGACGTGGCACATCACAGGGACTAAAATTCATATGTAAATCAAACAGATTTCAGAGAAAAGAATGAAACTGCTTGTCTTCATGTTTCAAAAAGAATTGCAGAGGTCAAAGGAACCAGGTGCAGGTGCAAAGATATATAAAAATAATGAGCAGTGCTCGTAACAAATATGGGCGGCTACATTCAGCATCTTTCACGTATGTCCAGTCTCAGGCCAAGGGCAAGAAATGTCCACTGTGCTTTAAAAGGTCTAGGAGTAGAAAAATCAAACCCAAGTCTTTTCTAATTCCACACGGCCGTTTTGCCACGAGATGATTAACAATGTCTGTGGGGTCTGGTTTATTATATTTGAACTGAGCTAGTACCAGGCAGCAGATAAAACCGTGGTCTTAGAATTTCTCCAGGACCCCCTGGTAGCTCATCTGGGGGCACGTCCTGGCTTCAAACCCAGCTGCCTTTGCTCTCCCTGATGGCTGCTTCGAAAGGGATCCCGCCAGACCTCCACAGACGAAGCTTTGTTAACTCATCCCCTATTGCTGGTCAGACTCAGGCTCCACCATTCAAAAGGCAGAAGGCATAAAGGTAAATACAGACAGGAGAAAGGATTTTACATCCGGTCCTGCAGCCTCTCCATGTACTCTCGGAAGCCCTGGGACGCCCCCAGCCCCACGTCTGGGCACACCCACTGGATGCTGTCATCACTGTCAAACGGGATGGAGCTGGTGTACGGACCGCCGTCCTCCGGGAGGATGGTGGTGTAGGACGTAAACTTGACCCTCTTCCTCTTTGGGCCGGACGAACTCAGAGGTTCGTTTGTCACGTCTTTCTCGTAGACAAAGTCAGAAGGTCTGAGCAGCTGACTAGGGAAAGTCTTCTGGGAACCGCCGTTCAGAAGGAAGTTCCTCTCCTCGGACTGCAGCCCCCTGTCGATCATGGTCGTGCAGTCCTCCGACGGGAGGGTCACGTCCACCGGGTTCTCCAAAAGCTCCACGTCGTTCCCCAGCCAGACCCAGTCGTGGGAATGGGGGATGTCGCCTTGCTCGCTCACGGCGAATCTTTTGTGCCTGTATTTCCAGGCAAACGCCACACAGTTAATTAAGAAGACCAAAATGGCCAGGCAGAAGACGCAGAGCAGGGCGTACATGCCGATCTCCAAGTCGGTCAACCCCCTGGAGGTCACCGTAAGGTCACTAGGATTATGGGGTTCCGGTAACTTCCCTTGAGTGGGGAAGCTTGTAAAGGCGTCTGGACCACCACTCTTGAGCAGCTTCTTATCCGTTCCTTCCATGGGAGACTGCGGGGTTGTGCTTTGGTTGGTACTTTCCCCGTGGCCGGCAGGGGCGCCATGTTGGAACCGCTGCTGCACTGCCCTCTCCTGGCCTCCTTCGCGCCCTATGCTGTTCCTCACGTGGTCTTTATATTCCCGACTGCCGCCCTCAACGTCGTTGGTGCCTCCTTGGTGCTCACCAGTATTTGCTTCAAATTTGACCTTGACGTTCCCTTTACCCACGGCAAGAACGCCCTTCCTCTTGGTCTTCTGACAGGGCTCACTGATCATCATTTCCAGTTTAATCAAGGGCCCTTGCCCTTCCCCCTCTGCAACGACAACCGGCCATTTGGACTGAAGGTTTGCCTGGACAGACACCACCATTTCATCCAATGATGAGACAGTGACCGAAAAATCCTTGGGATCGTAAATGTCTAAAGGTGTCACCGAACCGTCACTGAACAGAATCCAAGAACTGACTATTGCTTCCTAAGAAAAATGAAAGCAAAGCATCATGTTATAATCAGGTTCCTTCAAACCTGCAAATGTAAATGCGATTTCCTATGTAATATTATTTAAACATACAATCTGAGAAAAATTGATTTCTATGTTTTATTATCGTGAATAGCTCTCGACACTGCCTGGAACCGGCATCGGCCCTAAGCTATAGCTATAGTTGATGTGAGACACAAACAATATGCTTTAACAAGTGCATTAAAGTGTATATTAATTTATTGCATGCCAGACAACAGAATTTGACTTTGACCTTTCTAAAAACATTTTGAAAGATCAGGCAATTTATCTGAATCATATTCAGGTGCAACTAATCAGGCGCCTGCTCAAGAGAATATCCCTTTGAACATTCTTTATGAGGTAGCCAATGCTGATTGCTGGAACATGCACTGGCTGGAAGCACTTAAGGAAGGACGCGTTAGGAGACCAGCTGGCTTGAAAGGCACGGTGCCCTGGTATCTTTATCAATGACACGTCAAAGTTTAAAGATGGGGGAGAGTCTGAGAGTTGCCAATAATTGTCAACAGTGGTGACTGGGTGCCTATTAGCCATGCTTGTTCAAGTAGCTGAAATGGAATTTCTGAGCACAGTAAGTCCCCTACATACGAAACTTCAAGTTGTGAACTTTCAAAGATGCGAACGTGCGTTCGCATGTCCAATCACGTAAACCAGTTCACATGTCCGGCGTACATTTTCGCGTGCCTGCGTCCTCTGCAAGTGGTTGTGCTTTTGTGTCCTTTGCTGCACAGGACTGTATAGAGTACAGCAGTACTCTATTATCTCCCTCGTCCTCCCCTCCAGTCAGTAACTCTTCTTGCCTCTTCACTCGATGCTGGCCCCTGTGTGCCAGCTGTTGCACTGGACTACTGTACTTTTCAAGGTCCTTTACTGTAAGATTAAAAATGTCTTATTTTGGGCTTCCCTGGTGGCGCAGTGGTTGGGAGTCCGCCTGCCGATGCAGGGCACGCGGGTTCACGCCCCGGTCCGGGAAGATCCCACAGGCCGCCGAGCGGCTGGGCCCGTGAGCCATGGCCGCTGAGGCTGCGCGTCCGGAGCCTGTGCTCCGCAACGGGAGAGGCCACAACAGTGAGAGGCCCGCGTACCGCAAAAAAAAAAAAAAAGTCTTCTTTTTTTGTGTTTGTTTTTTATGTATTATTTATGTGAAAAGTATTATAAGCCTATTACGGTACCGTACTATATGGCCGATTGCGTTAGTTGGGTACCTAGGCTAACTTCGTTGGACTTAACGAACGCACTCTCGGAACGGAACTCGTTCATATGTAGGGGACTTACTTACTGTATCAAAAGGCACCTGCTTTGACAAAAGGGAAAACATGTGAGCCTTTGGTCACGGTCTAGCAGCGGACTGTGCCTAAAACAGATAAGGCTGCTCTAAAGCAAGTAGCATATGGGCATGTGGTTGGTGGATTAGAAACACATACGAGGAAAATGTATCTAAGCCACTGAGTCCTTTTCTCAGAGACAGGACAGACTGGATAAACAGGAAGACGCTTCAAGAATCACTAGTCCCAGCTATGAGTCCTCTCTCTACGGATCTCCTTTGCAGGATGTGAGAGCGAGAGAAGCGGTCTCAACTGGCCAGGGACGAAAGGATTCTGGACTCTTACTTGCTGTGGGGCTTGAAGAACATCCTGGGCAGCTGCTGTTGAAATGATGGCTCTTTTGTCCAACCTGTGAGGCTGCAGGAAAAGAGACAAGCCGGCCACCAACTGCACGCCCAGGTCCACGATGGTGACACGGTCATCCAGGACGGTCACCGTCTTCTCAGCCAGGATGGAGTCAGAGAGAGGCGACAGGACCTGCAGGGTCAGCGAGACACCTCAGTCTCTGCCCCTCACACCATTCAAAACTCCTTAACTGGTGTTTCCACCACCGTGTTCTCCCAGGTTTCCCGACATGAGTGCACGTATGGAAATTGTGTGTGTGAGCGTTATGCCCCTGTTCAATTACGCTCTCCAAGTGAGGGAGTTTTACAAATATCATCTTGGTCCATTTTCTTTACTTTGAGTCACATCATGATAGCAGCACTGTATTTTCAAAAAAAAACCAAACAAACCAACCATGATTTAATTTAAAGGCAATAACTAAAAATTGCCCACCTGGGTACCAAGCACCAAAGAGTAACATCTTTCCAACAACTAATATTTAGGTGTGAAAATGGCAGAATTGTGGTAAAACTTTAAAGGATTGGTGCTCGGCCATCTCTCCCTGCACTTATTCCTTTCAGTGGGCAGTTAGATGTCCACTACGGGCCATTAGTCACCATTGCGTGGGCTGCTGCGTCATCATTGGATAAACCAGGTAAGCAAAGTGGGAAAGAGAATCTTATTCTTCTAAGAAACCACTCCTAATGCACCATCTAGCTTGCAAGCGGGGGTGACTAACAAATGGAGAGGAATATCTAGTGGGCAGAATTTCTAGACCTGTCCTGCCAAAGAGGTCCTGCTTAATCTCTCAAACCTGTGAATATGATGAGAAATCACCCTCCCGACTATGTTATAGGATATGGCACAGTTGGCCTTAGAATAGAGAGGTTATGCTGGGTTAGCCGGGTGGGTCCCCTGTAATCACACGGGCAGAGGGCTTTCCCTGGCTGGTGGAAAAAGGAAAAGTCAGAGAGGTTCAAAGAGTGAGAATCTGGTGATGGAGAGGCCCCATGAGAAGGAAGGCAGGTGGCCTCTAGGAGCAGAGAATGAGCCCTGGCTGACAGTCCACAAGGAAACAGAGTCCTCAAGCCCACACTGCGAGGAACTGCATTCTGCCAGCAGCCTGAGCTGGGAAGCAAATCCTTCTCCGAAGCCCGCACAGAGGCCCAGCCTGGCCCACACCTTGACCACAGCCTTGTGGTACACTTGGCTTGGTACTCCAGGCTCACCTGGACTCCCAAGCTTCAGAACTCCGAGTTGATAACTTAGTGGTGCTTTAAGTTGGGAGACTGGCGGTGGTTTGTTACACAGAAATAGAAGAGTAATGAAAATATAACGTTGAGTACAGCTTTGTCAAAAATTAACTTTGGCAAAACCTAAAATCTGACTTAATTAGCTCTGAGCAGTAACATTTTAATTTGTTATTCAAAAACTATGCTGCACTCTTTCTGCAGAATTATCCTGTCAACGTTGCCTAGAAAATAGTTTTACTGTTTTACTACAGTAAAATGGAGAGTGCTTTTTATTAATTTTAGTGCAATACGTTTTACTTTTTAATTTTTTGTCCACTGTTAAGGTAAAACATAGCTAAATGTTTAATCCTCAAGTTTAGAAAATAAAACTAGCTTTCACAGGTTCCACCTACTGTCTTCTATCAGTGATACATGAAAAGTAAACTATCATATTGGGGGAAAGATTACTTAGACTGGGTGTTTAATTCAGCTTTGGTCAAAGAAATGAGATTTTTTTCTCAACTCTCTCCAAAACGCGAGATATAATTTGAGTCTGGATCGTTAGAACCGACGAACCCTCTGTTACTGCCCATGATTCTCTGACACAGGCGCACACCGCCCTGCACGACAGCGTCTACCTGGACCCTTATCAACACAGACCGGGGCTGTGGGAGGCGGCGAGGGGTGGGTGCCGGTACCTGCACGGTGGTGATGCCCGGCTCCCGGCCCACCAGGGTCCTGCCGTCCTGTAGCTGAGCAATTCTCGGCTCTTCCACCTTCATGAAATCCATCACGAGGTCAGTGACGTCAAACTGCCAGTCGGGGCCCAGCATGTAGCTCAGCTGACCCGAGTTGGGTGACTCGGCCACGAACTGGGTGAGGACGCGCACGAGGGCGCGCTGATGCTGCAGAGAGCAGCCTCTGCCCTTCCTTTCCTCGTCGTCTTCGTCCTCGCTGTCTCTGGCGGGCCTGGGACACACACACGGCAGAGCAAACGTCATCGCTGCGGGGAGGTGTCTCGCGCCCCCCTTTGTCCTCATTCCCCGTGACTCTGCCCTGCTCGGTGTGAGCTGCTCACCATCGGGTCACCCGCCGTCTGCTCCTTCGTTCATTCCCCGGGCACTGTCTGGTGGTCACCGAGCGCCACGCGCACTGCCACGTGCTCGGAGCACAGAAGCCCAGCTCGGCCCCTGCCGTGCCCGCCCAGCACCAGGCGGGGACCAGCCCCACACGGGCAGAGGCTGCATCTCTGTCCTGTGTTCTGGAAGTCTGCAACTTCATCAAGATCCCCCGTGCGGGGATGAACGGGGGCTAGAGGAGGGAACGGGAGGTCTGGGGTCAGAAGAGCCGGGTGGAGGCTGGCCTTGAGCCATCAGTCACTCCCGCATGGGCACCTCACCTTGGGAGTGGAGATGACAAGGACCCCCCTTACCGCCCTGCAGGTGTGCTTGAGCAGATGCAGGCCAGGTGTGACGACACCTGAGGGCGGCCCTCGTGAACCATCACCTGGGGACGGTGCCCACATCCGGCCCCTTCCCCGGATCAGGCCCTTCCATCTCTACAGAAGCGGCTTCCTCTGAGCTCCGGGCCCTAAAGGCGATCGGGGTAAAGCCTCCTACCTCCCATCCGCCCTGATCTGAGTGGTCGCCGACCCGCAGAGCTGCTGAAACTACTGAACCACGTCTGCCACCTGCGTCCTGGCTTCTCCCCCTTCCTCCTGTCCCCTTACTCACCTGCCCACACCCACCCTGAGAAACCCTCTCTGGCTCAGCCATTCTAGAACCTTCTCCTCGAGATACACCTGTCCCGTGTCCTTTATGAAAGGACCTGGTTTGATGGCTGCTGACTGGTCTGTGGCCCTCGGTGGATGGGTCTTGGGTCAGGGGAGAAAGGGGCAGAGACTTATACGTGCTGGGTTAGACCTAGCATGTGCCGGGTCCTGCCCTGCGTGCTCCTGTAAAGAGCTGACGTAAATGGGCCACGTGCCACCTGCCAGCCACACACAAGTGGCCCACGTCATCTGCACAGGCCCCGAGGAAAAGGGTGTTCTAGAAGCTGATCTCGCCGGTGAGGAAACTCAGGCACAGAGAGAAGGGGCAACTGGGTCACAGCCACACAACCGGTCACCTCGACATGGAGTCCAAGCCTGGCCGCTGTCCCTCTACTGGTGCCCTCTCCCTTTTTCTAAAAATTAAAACAAAATTTATTTGCTGCACCGCACAGCTTGTGGGACCTCAGTTCCCCAACCAGGGATCGAACCCGGGCCCTCGGCAGTGAAAGCGTGGAGCCCTAACCACTGGACCACCAGAGAAGTCCCTTTCTCTCCCTTTTTATAACAGACTTCATTTCTCTTCACAACAGCCCTGAAGCTCGCTCCTGTTTCTACATGAAGAAACCAAGGATCAGAGCAGTTAATATGAGGCCCAGAGAGTTCGTTATTAGCAGTTTGGGACGAGCACCATGTCACTCCTGAAACCCACTTTCTTAACAACGTGTCATTCCACCTCCCTGAAAGGTTAACCCTCAAGGTTAGAAAAGTAAAACTAGCTTTCACAGTTTCTACCATCTTCTATTAGTGATGGATATAAAGTAAATTATCATACTGGGGGGAGATTGCTTAGACTGAGTTTAATTCAGACTTGCCTGGTAAAAGAAATGAGATTTTTTTTTCCTCAACACTCTTTAAAATGGAAAAATTAATTTGAGTTTAGATTATTAGTTACAGGAAAAAAATTTTACCAGCACCTAGCAATTTGAGTTTCCCAAAGTGAGGGGTAAGTGTCCTTGCTGTTAAGTGAGATGATTTGATTTTAGGTGGCAGTAAAAACACTGACTGACATACAGAAAGGTTATTTCCATTTTATTTTTCAATCATCCTGATTATATCCCAGGGAACGTCTCTGTTCGGTGCCAGGTGACCTTCAAGGGCTCTCGGATACCTGCTAGTCTCTCCCAGCTCATAAAGACAAATTCAGACAAACAACTGTATCTACTCAGAATTTAATAACAATGTTTTATTTTCTTTGCATTAATTTTTACTAGTTGGCTATTTTTTGATAGTGATGTGGAGTTTCTCTTAAATAAATAGATAAAACTGAAGAAAGAACAGTAGTAAGTGTATTCTAGGTGGTACTCAAAAGTTGCAGTCTCATAAAAGTGGTGAGTGAATAAATGAAGTTTTAGAAATACCATATTAATAAAACAATTGCATTCTGTTGTGTTAAAAAAAAAAACTTTAAATTTCGAGGTCATTTCAAATTCACTGGAAGTTTAGAAGATCATACAGGGAGGTCCTGTACACTGTTTACCCAGCCTCCCAGATTTAACATCTTGCATACCTGTGGTACAATACCCAGACCAGCAAATTGACATTGGTACAAACCACAGAGCTTATTCAGATTTCGACAGGTTAATGAATACCCATTTGTGTGTGTGTATATGTAGTTCTATGTGATTTTTATCACATGCAGATTCATGTAATCATCACCATAACCGAGATACAGAACTGGTCCATCACCACAGGGGTGTCCTGTGTACTGCCTTACACTTCTAAACCATCTTTAACTCATGGCAACCACTAATCTGCTTTCTCTTTCCTATATCATCATAAATGGTACCACACTGCAGGTAACCTTTTGAAGCACTGGTCAGGATGTGGATGTGTGTGTAACTGGATGACTTAACACACTGCTGGTGGGAATGAAAAATGGAGCAGCCTCTCTGGAAAACAGTTTGGCAGCTTCCTTTAAAACTAAATATGCCCTTGGGCTTCCCTGGTGGCGCAGTGGTTGAGAGTCCGCCTGCCGATGCAGGGGACACGGGTTCGTGCCCCGGTCTGGGAAGATCCCACATGCCGCGGAGCGGCTGGGCCCGTGAGCCATGGCCGTTGAGCCTGCGCGTCCGGAGTCTGTGCTCCGCAACGGGAGAGGCCACAGCAGTGAGAGGCCCGCATACAGCAAAAAAAAAAAAAAAACTAAATATGCCCTTGGGCTTCCCTGGTGGCGCAGTGGTTGAGAGCCCGCCTGCCAATGCAGGGGACACAGCTTCGTGCCCCGGCCCGGGAAGATCCCACATGCCGCGGAGTGGCTGGGCCCGTGAGCCATGGACGCTGAGCCTGCGCGTCCGGAGCCTGTGCTCCACAACAAGAGAGGCCACAACAGTGAGAGGCCCGCGTACAGCCAAAAAAACCCCCAAAACAACAACAACAACAAAACAATAAACAAACAAGCAAAACAAACTAAATATGCCCTTAACATACAACCCAACAATTCCCCTCTCGGGCATCTTCCCCAGAAAAATGAAAATCTACATTCATACAAAAGCTTGTATGTCAAGCTTTTGTCATAGCATCTCTATCCAAAATAGCCCCACACTAGAAAAAAAAAACGTGTCCTTCCGTGGATGCATGATTAAGCAAACTGTGATACTCCCTACCAGAGGATACACTCAGCAAAATAAATAAATGAATTATGGAAACATGCAATGACTGGGGTGGATCTCAAGGGAATTATGCTGAATAGAAACATGTCCATTCCTAAAGGTTTCATACTGTATGGTACAATTTACCAGCTAGAGAAAACTTTCTGCTTTCAAAGGGCTCAACTGATGGATGATCTCCATATTTTAAGATTAACGGACTTGGAATTTTAATTACATCTGTAAAATCCTTTCACAGCAGTCCCAGATTTGTGCTTGATTGAATAACCAGGAGATGGGACTCCTGAAGGGATGTTACCTTTAGAATTCTGTCTACTGCAGGATGTATCCTTTCACTGAATTCTTGGGATAACTCTATTCAGTAACTCTATTGTCATCTCCAATTTATAGATGAAGAAACAGGAAGAGAGGGGTCAAGTGACTTGCCCAAGGTCACACAGCTATACGTGAGAAAGCCAGGGTGAAACTCAGCGGCCTTATTCCAGAGCCCACAACTTAACCATTGTACTGTGCTGCATAGAGGATGGCTGACATTTATAAGCAGGAAACTGAGGTAAGGTAGGAAAGAACAGGGAAGCAGGGAATAGAAAGAGAGCTCTTCCCTTAAGTGCCAGGCCTTGTGCTAGGTGCTTCTTATGCGTTGCATCGTTTTACTGAATCCTAGCAACTATTCTACGAGGTAAAAATGATTATTATCCCTATTATAATCGCCTCCTATTATCCCTATTATAATCCCTACTATAATCGTAAGTACCCAAGTCAGATCCATCTGAACTCCGATCCCACTATTACCCACAGTGGATGCAGCTTCCCTAGGGCCTAGGTCCCTGAGGACGTTTGCCTCAGATCGGAGCCCCAGGAACCTCAGAACCACAGTCCTCGATGAACTTCATTCCCCCACCCCCTTGGTTCCTCACCTTCGGTTGGAAGCCACTGGGATCCTCCACCCTTTGATCTGGCTCAGCTCCGTATCCGAGATGTCGACCTGCAGGGGGAGTCTGGGCGCCCAGACGGTGACCTCTAACTGCGAGGTGAAGTGCTGGTGGGTAAAGTTCACGATCGTGTCCACTTTGCTCTTCATCTCCTTCCCATTCGCAAAAATCGAATCGCAGCCGCTGGAGACCTTGGGGGAGGGGATAGAATCTCCCGATGCATCAGCAGGAAAAAGCCCGTGCAAAACCTGACAATGAAAGTTCATGAACTGCAACAGCTCTGATTTATGAGACCCAAGACAACCAGGAGAACATGACTTGAACAGAAGGTAATTTGTAGGCACTAATTAGGGACAAAGGCTGATAAACAGACTCCAGGAAAACCATTTTGTATTACGAACCACTGACAAGTAAAATCATAAACATAATTTAATGGAGTTCCATAACCTTTGTTGCCTTTTGTGTGTGTTTTCTTCCCTTTACCTCACCTCCTTTATGTACTCAAA